CTGTGTACAGTTCTGGTGTCCTCAACATAAAAAGGACATGGAACTGTTGGAACAAGTCCAGAGAAGGGCCACGAGGATGATCAGGGGACTGGAGCACCTCCCGTATGAAGACAGGCTGAGGAAGTTGGGGCTGTTCAGCCTGGAGAAGAGAAGGCTGCGTGGAGACCTCATAGCAGCCTTCCAGTATCTGAAGGGGGCCTGTGAGGATGCTGGGGAGGGACTCTTCATTAGGGACTGTAGTGACAGGACAAGGGGTAATGGGTTAAAACTTAAACAGGGGAAGTTTAGATTGGCTATAAGGAAGAAATTCTTTCCTGTTAGGGTGGTGAGGCACTGGAATGGATTGCCCAGGGAAGTTGTGAATGCTCCATCCCTGGCAGTGTTCCAAGGCCAGGTTGGACAAAGCCTTGAGTGATATGGTTTAGTGTGAGGTGTCCTTGCCCATGGCAGGGGGGTTGGAACTAGATGATCTTAAGGTCCATTCCAACTCTAACTATTCTATGATTCAAAACATTCCCTTTTTCTCTTCTGAATTTAAGACTTCTGACATCAGATTATACAGCAGATACAATTTCAATTTCACAGTGAAAATGTGGACAAGATGTGTCATTTTAACATTTATTTAAGTTTTCCCATAGTTCAAACAAAATACGACATCCCATTTCACCTGATAAAAGAAAAAGATAAAACACTTCTACAAAGTTAGCCAGTGTATAGACTTTCTTATTTTACAAAACAAAAAGGTAGCAACATGTTACAAAATAATCATCAAACCAATCAATGTCAATAGTGCAAAGAATGAACTGCCAGTATAGGAGAGAGATGGAGGGAGGGTAGGATGGATGGGAGGATGGATGGATGGATGGATGGATGGATGGATGGATGGATGGATGGATGGATGGATGGATGGATGTGTGGGTGGCTGAACAAAACAGGAAGAATAGGAACAGCTGTGCCTGTTACCACACAAAATTTTGTATCTCACACAGCTCATCATGTAGATTGACCTTTAGTGGCAGAACAAGGTAAACACTTAATCCATAAGTGATCTCTGTCTGCTGCAAATTCTTGTGCTGGCTAGTTCTGGACATGAGCACAGTTCTAGACACAAGCTGCAAAGAGTCATTGAAAGGAATTTTTCACCTTCTGGAACAGAGGTGATCTGTCAAGGGCTTGATCAGTTTGTGTGCATTCAAGGGCTAAGGAAATTACTGAGAATTTAATGCAAGCAACAGAGCAAGTACCTCCAGGCTGAGCTTTATACACTTTTTCCTCTTGCTTTCATGCAATTGCTCTCTATCCTGGGAGGTGAATGATCAAGAGGGAGTTTTAGCAGCTACTACATCATGTGGACACGTAGACCAACAGGTCTTGGGTGTCCTATCAAGTAAATATGCCAGCCACCCACCAGAAAAGGTAAATTATTTCTGCAGTTTCTTATGATACTACTGTATCTGTCCGTTTCATAGGATGACTAAATTTGAGTCTAAATAAAATAAAGGACAAAAATAACACCAGTCAGTTACAGTATTTCTCAGATGAATTTGCCCATTTTCCTTTGCTAGGAGGGTGTCCATAGTTAATAAATGTAAGAAGCATTCACTAAAATAAACTCAGCTGCCCAGAGGTGGTGTTCATCTTTACCTCCTGTGATCAAAGACTGTTTATTTTCTAGACAAAATTCCCTGCAATACTTCAAGTCTTACCACAGTCAAAAATGAAACAAAACCATCATGAAAAATAGAAAGAAAGCTGAAAGTGGGAACAGCTTCAGGGAGTAAATGGATGCTTACCTTGAAGGCACATTTCCTGCATGAAGTACTACAAAGCTTTCAAATACACCAAAAGACAGTGATGATACCTTTTTCAAAAGAAGCATTACACCGAGACTATTAAAAGAGATTTTTCCCCAAGATAAAAAGAAGAAAAAAAATCATTCCCACTACAAGCATAGCTTGTATCTAAATTATTTCTCCTCTAAAACTGACAAACCTCTCAGATCTTTTCTCCTTACTCCCATCAGCAGTCTATCCAAATTACTGATGTAGCCCCATGGATGAAGAGTATATGGTTCATGTACATAAAGTTCATACGTGACAGTATCTAATACTAAAAAATTGGCACTGTTTAATCAAGCAAGAACAGTGGAAGCCTCAAAAAGGGCACTTAGGATCCCGGTGTTCAAATGCTCAGAGCTTGTAATAGTGCTGGACTGAAAAACGAATTCAGTGGTGATACCTGGTGATACCAACACTAGGTTTTCTAAAGATTCTGGCTGTTAGTGCTTGTTTGAAAAATCAAACTACCTGAGTGCTTCACTGGGAAATAAGACCTTTTGAAACTCTGGCCAAGGTATTAATCCTAAACTCTTGAAAATTCAGCAGCAGGTCCATCAGAAAAATGTTCTTCAGTGATCAGAATGGATTAAAATAACTTTTTTATAAACCAGAACACTTTTCCAATTTTGCCTGCATAACTCCATGGAAGGACTGGAAGAGATACTTCTCTTGTTCTACTAACTACCTGAGAGAGATCAGAGACAGGATCATACTCTTTCTTTCACTCATTAGCTTTGAATAAAAAAAATAAATAAATCAGTGATGAAAAGGTGGAGAAATTACGTAAATCCAGAAGCTTCTGATATGTTCATCTTTCAGTTTTGTGGGCATGAAATATTCTGTGGCTGGAGTATGATAAAGACTGAATAGTTTAAGAATTCAGAGATGGAAAATTATATTCCTTTAATTCTCTCCCCTCTTCAAGGAGTACAACATTGTTTATTTGCTATTACTTACTTGTGTTTTCAAGGGCTGGGCAGCAATGGGCAAACATTCAGACACTAAGCCTGCAGATCAGAGTAGGAAATCTCCTGACTGTTTCTTTCACAAAACATTCCTGAACTTCCTCAGCAAAATCTCAGCACTCCTTCAGCTTGGTTTTGTTGGATTTCTTGCTGGTCCTTTTCAGAAACTAGGAGCTACAGTGAAAAGCAGGAAAACCACCCAGAAGTTCTTTCAAAAGAAGAGTGAATCTTACATAGGAGTTGCCATGCAACTCACCACAGTCAGCCTGTAACAGAGCTGAGAATTAGTCATGAATTCAGTACTGTGCTCTCAGGTATCTTACAACCGATAAAAGTAATCATTTAATAAATAATTCTTTGTACTTTATCAGGAATTTTACTCCACTGATATCAAAATGGTTCATAAAAGTTGATGGTATTCTTCCATTTACAGAGAGATGTTGCAAATGTTTAGTACTAACTGGTGTGCTCTGGGCAGCTCCCTGGGCTTCAGTAGAATTACCCGCAGTAGAATATTACATGCTTATTATAAAATCCTAGAAGGACTGAGACTTTATGTATTTACAGAGGTGTACCTATGTAAATATATGCCACTAAGTTCACCTAGGATTGAAATTTAGGTGCATAAGTTCTCGATAATAATTTGTTTTAAATTCTACCACTACCAGTTTTAGGCTAAATGTAATTAAATCAAGTTTCATTTGGGATTTTAACATTGTAGTGATTTTTAGAGAAGTCACAGTGAAAGTAGCAAATTGAGAATGTATTAATTTTCTGTTATATGAAATGTCAAATAAATCTATAAATTTATAAAAAAGCTTGCATTTTCATTCATTATGATTTTAAATTACATTGCCAAGGCTTTCTGAATGTGTGATTTTAAAGTCAGCAGTAACCTTTCAAAAGATAAATGACTTAATAATTTTTTTTTTCTTTTTACATTTAAAATTACCTCAACATGAAATATTACACAAGCCAGGGACACAGTTACAAAAATTGGGTACTTTGAACAGTTTTCTCTAAAATTTATATGAATGTGAATGAGAACTTTGCCTTCTGCATTTGTATTTAGAAAGAAGCTTTAAGACTTCCTGTTACCTTCAGCTAAGTGAACATAAAAAAATCTCCATGATAGAAGCTTGTTACTAATTTTTGAAAAGAGATTTTAGGTGCCAGTTAGTGGGGGTTTTATAAAGATACAAGTTACTTCTGTTGTAGGTTCAAGATAGAACATGAAAGTGATATTGTGCTGTACAGACTTCCAAGGATTTTCAGGAAGGCAAACAACATTGTCTGTTTGAAGTAATTTTGTTCTGTCATTTTCAATAACCACCCACCTTTCCCACCCCAGAAAACATAAAAAAACCCAAACCCAAAGGCTAGTGTTTCTCCCTTAAATATCTTTCTAGGCAGGAATGATCTAATCTTAGCCAAGTTCCTCCTGTATCACCTCTATAATAAGACACATTCCCTGTTACTAGCAGCCATTACCATGTTCAGTCAAGATAATAGAACAGACTAACAAATAAAAAATTTAAGAAATTGCAGAGACTTTCTTGTAACTTGTGCAGACCCATGAAAATGTGCACAATGACATGTTGTCATTCAGGGGATGAGACAGCAAGGGGTGAACAGAAGAACAGCTACATGATTAGCTGTCCTGTCTGTAGTTCATGTGCTTGCCCATTTACTATGTTTAAGATGCAGAGTTTGTTGATTCTTCAGAATGATGCTCAGGGTTTTCACTCTGTTGATCACTTCAGAAATGAGATTTTACATCATTTTTCACTTGATGCTGCCTGGGTTTTATTTGGCAGTTCAGAAGGAAGTGAATCTTCCAATGACCAAACCCAACAGGCATACAGCAACAACAACAACAAAAAAAGGCTTAATGTAGGAGGGCAAGATTTAAGTGTGATAAAGGCTGCTTTCTGGTTTGACTGTGATGCTTGTCAGACCATACTTCAGTGCACAAACTAAATGGTGAAGAGGCAGAAAGGCGGGCTTGACTGTAATACAAGTCATTCTGTCTATCCCCCAAATGTACTTAAATTGTTCCATGGGTCCACTCCAAACAAACCACACACAAGCTTCTTCTCGAAGTACGGGTCATCACAAGGAAAAATAATACTCTTTGGAGCATTATTTTGAGAGTAGTACTGCATACTTTTTAAAAGAAAAATACCAAATCCCTGCAAGTTCTTTCTTCCAGGTTTTTTAATTTGACTACCCATCTTGTGACTTGCAGACTGGTCTTCCTTCACTGCATAGCACATTCATTGACATCTGCTGTATCTTCTCCCTTCAGATCCTCATTCAAGCTTTTTTTCCGCTCTATTTCGACCTGGCAGAGGAGAAAGGGGAAGAATATTGGTGATGAGAAAGGAAACCAAAAGAATAACAAAATCTTTAATGGCAATCCATGTTCCACTAAGGTAAAGAAACTCTTGGTAAAATGAGAGTGCTTTGAAGAGAAATAGACTGAGGGAAAGCTAGATTTTATACTCTTAAGTGTATAAGTCTAATCCAGTGTTACAATTCAACAGTGTCATGACATCTTTTCCAGAAGAGAAAAAGTCATGCAGAGAACTGGTCTCATGTGATTTTATATTAATTACCATCTCTATTTGTACTTTGAATCCAAACCCAGAACAAAATCTGCAGAGGACAGGTGGCTTCCTAAGTGACAGAAGACGACCAGCCTATATTTTAAACTCTGATGTGTAAAGCAAGAGCTTAATCTTCAAAATGCACAGAATCACAGAATCATAGAAGATCTTGAGTTGGAAGGAACCTGTAAGGATCATCGAGTCCAATTCCCTGCTCCTCGCAGGACTGCCTAACACTGAACCAGACATCGGCACATTCTTGACATTCTCAGGCTCAGGTGCTTTGGGCTACAGATGCCAATTTGTACTGTGATGGGGCCAAGGTGATCTACATTTGTGTTCTAAATTTCAACACCTCTGAAAATTCAGGAATGATCCAATGTCCAGTTCTTCAGAGGAATGCTTAGGAAGAGCAATTACCTTCTCCAGAGAATTTAAAAGACTACTAAAAACCTATTACCATTAAAAATATTTGCCATGAGGATCTTTTCATTATCTCTCACCTCTGTTCTTAAAGAAGGCAGGTAGGATGCCAATTTCTCTGCTGAGAATCAGCTAACATGCAAATTTTGGCATACTGAGATTCTTGGCAGGTATCTATGTAGTGCGTTTTCCCATCTGCTCCTCTCCTTAGGGCAGGCAGGAAGAAGAAATATCTAAGCAGAGAAACAATGTGATCCTTTTGTGTGCTGTAGCACTCCCACTGTAGCTGCTATGAAGAGCAGAAAAACTCTGTTCACACTTTTACTGTATTCAGCTTATCTCCAGTATCCATGAGCATGCTTTTCCACAAAGCAACTGCAAGCAAGGTTATTCCATCTTTGCTGAGGGATAATCTGCTGCTTTTTTACCATGAATCAATAGGCTGCACATGGGTAGCTACTGCACAGAGCCTAGCATATGTCAAATTCCCACCGCATCCGCCCATGGTATTTGTCTGCCTAGAGTTTTCAAGACAATTAAGCATGCAAAGTAACCACAGTGATTGCCACATACTCAGTTTTACCTTGTAACTGTAGTGTGCTGAATAGTTGACCCATTTCCTCACATTGGTCTTGTCCTCGACAGAGATGGACCGAACAGTGGCTTTGGAGGCAGAAGTGGTGGGCATGTCAAATTCCACATCTACATAGCGGACAAAACTGGAAGGCACTTCCCGGTCAGAGCCAAGCTCTAGGTGACAGAAGAAGCTGTGAGGATGGCCAGAAGCTGGAAAAAAAGCGCAAAGAGACATGAAAGTTGTGTTGGATGGATGTCCCGGGTTCAGCAGCAGCAGTCATGTTTCTCCTTCTTGGTAGCTGGTGCAGTGCTGTGTTTTGACTTTCAGCTCGGGAACAGAGCTGATAACAATGATGTTTTGGTTTGGCCAAGGACTTTGTGAGCCTCATGCTCTGCCAGGGAGGAGGGGAAGCCGTGAGGAAGCAGAGACAGGACACCTGACCCAGGCTAGCCAAAGAAGTATTCCATACCACAGCACGTCATGCCCAGGATGTAACTGGGAGTGAGCCGGAAGGGCTGGGAGACTGCGGGGTTGGAGGAGGCATTGATCAGAGCTTGGTCGGTCTGGGGGGGGGGGGCGGGGGGGGGGCTAGTTATGGGTCAGCTGGTGGTGAGATGTTGTATTCTCTTCCCTTGTTATTTCCTTTATCATTATTATCATTGGTGGTAGCAGTAGTGATCTGTGTTATACCTGAGTTACTAAACTGTTCTTATCTCAACCAGTGGGAGTTGCATTCTTTTCAATTCTCCTCTCCGTCCCTCCGGGAGTAGGGAGAGGGAAAGAAGTGGGGGGAGTGAGTGAAGGAGCCCTCTGCCTCCTTTTAAACCATGACAATGGATCACAAAAAACAACGTTTAGGAAGAAGCAACACCATGAAACTGCAAGAAACTGAGAATCTGCCTGGCTGAACTAGTTCACACCAAGTGACAGTATCTTACCTGTTTCAGTGCTGTAGGAATTTCCAGAGGAATTAAACAAAACTGCAAAAAGGATTGCCAATCACTCTGGTTTTCTTTTAGTGGGTGAAAATACAAGATGTCAATCAAGCACAGTAGGGTAAAGGTATTTCCCCTCTTCTGATTCCCCCAGTGCATGTAACATGTTAAGCGCATTGTGGCATATACTTCTGAAATGTGTGTATTGGTAATGAGGAAAGGTGGGATTTCGCAGGTATTTCACAGTTGTTTGAAATTGTTATCCTCATTTTTAGCAAAAGAAAATATACTGGATAATGTTAAATAACTTTCCTGGGTTCAAAAAGCAAGCTCATGCATAGCTTGTATGTAACTGTTTATTCTTTACCCCACGACAAGGTGGCTAGTTATTAAAGATTGCAAGGTGAAGAAAGAATCACATTTAGCTCTGTCATCTGTAAATGATAACCTTTGTTATTATCCCCCCCCCCCCCCCCCCGTGTTTTGCTGGACAGCAGTGATGTTTAAAAATTGAAGTAGGGACTGCTAGTCAAACTAGACTGGTTTTATTTCTGACTGCAGCCAACTCCCTAACCTCTTGAGCAAGTCATTTAAGGTCTGCACCTTAATTTTTCTGTCTACAAAATGAGAAAGCAAGCCTTCAAAGCCACTTTGGGCTTTTCTGATTGAAGGGATCCAGAGTTCCCTCACAAGTGGAAGGTTTAACAACTTACGTCCCTGCAACAAATCCAAGGAGAGGCTATGCAGTTCAGCAGAGACAGCACTGATATGCAGCACCACAGCTGGAGCCATGTTATGGGTGCAGTTATCAAACAGACTTAAAAACTTTAGTTCTGCAAGCATTAAATTATATCACCAGGACTTTCATCAGGATTAATTATCCCAAGCAGAGTGCTGACTCTGGTTCTAGAGCTGGGAGCTCCCTCTGACAGCACATCCTGGCTTTTTATACCTGGAGCATGCTTTCCCTGGGTAAAATCAGTGGCACACAGCAGACCTCAAAGATGATGCCCACACACCATGAGCCAGGGGCAGCTCCACTGCTCCTGTGGAGATCACTGTGCCTCTAGCACTGCAGGGCTTTTGCTTCTGGCCAGTTCTTGGGCTCGGCTGTGGTGGACACACCTGTGGTGGCAGCACACTCCAGCCTCTGCCATAGGACACTCAGGTGCTGCTGCACACACCTGGTAACCACTGCTCTGTGGTACTGCATTATGAAGATGCCATTCCTGGCTCAAAATTTCTGTGTTCAGCACTCAGTGCTGGCAACCAACTCCCAGTCTCAGGCCCCTCATTTGATCATATCTCTTCACTCACCCTATGCCAGGCTCAGCAGACTCATTGCAATCCTTCCTGCTCATCTGCTTTGCTATGCTTTTCTTCTCTAGATTGCAGTGGGCTGCTCCCTCCTTCAGGCTGCCTGGATTGCAGTGGAGGTCCACAGCAGTCTGAAGGAGTGGCAACACAGCACTGGTGCAAGCCACTGTCCTGGCTACAAGGTGTTCAGCTTGCAAGGTGTTCAGCTTGCACTGCTGCACTCCTGAGCTGGCATATGCTCAGTTGCTTTTGGGATGGACACATGTGAAAGTAGGACTGGGACGTGTTTAACAAGGCTTGAGGACACTGTGTGATGGGTGCTTTGGACATCTGAGCTTTTAAGCTATTCATAATTTCAACCAGACACATGGAACTAGCAACCAGTCATCTAACACACATGTTGGTGGATATTCACAGGCTCAAAAAAAAAGGGGGAGGGAAATAAAGGGGGGGAAAGGAAGAAAAATTAATGCAGTGCAACTTACAATGCAATTTTCCAATAATTTAATTTCTTCTAGTAGTTTTGCCCACTAACAGAAAAGACCATGCGCAACACTCAAACAAAATACAGAAGTTATTCATTTAAACCAGCACATCATGGTAGGCAATAAGGTGAAGTGATTAATACAGCAAGTCCTTCACCAAAGTTATAGCAAAAAATACACAGCACCCAAGTGTCCATCCGTGAGGCACATGAGGCACAACTTCTGTAGACTCTCCATTCAACAGGCTCATTCAGAGCTCTTTCTTGAATGGACAGGTATAGTTTTTAGTAAAATCAGTCAACAGACTGCTTTTGCTTCGCAGCTTCTGCTGCCTTAAGCTATTAACATTTCATTCTGGCAATCAAGCATCTCATAATATAATTCATATATATGCATGGGTTACTGTGATTGGAGAGAATCTGTTCCAAACAACTCTGATATCCCAACAAGTTTGAATTAAAGGATTTAATTTACTTCAGAAAGTATACCAGGTGCCTGGATCCACAGCCAAAGTAAAGCAAAGTCCAGATATCCAGATCCAAGGTTCTGCACATAGACTACATCCCTGCTTCGCTGGAGGCGCATTCTCCCATGATTGAAGACCAGGTGGATGTTTTCCTAATATTCTGCTGGTAGATTAAAAAAACCCAAACATGTGGAGCCCAGCCAGCTGCAACTGAAGCTCTGCAGAGCCTGTAAATAAGCTTTCTTTATCAACTGCTTTGATCACATTAATTGTGATTATGAGAAGGGCAATAAAGATTGACAAGCTGTTCTGGAAAGGCTTTTAGCCATGTGGTTAGTAGACTCCAGTCCATAGCTTTTTCTTAGGATAAATCACAGTCAGGGTACACACTCTCCTTCTTTTGTCATATGCTTTTAAGTGTCCAGTCATAAGCAGCCACTTTGGCTATAGAGGGAACAGATAACAACTTCCTAAAGTGAGAATGCAAAGGGCTCCATCCCATTAGAAAGCACAAGGAGAAAACATTTGGATGAGACAGCAACGCTACTGAAACAGTTTGGGAGCTAGGACACTACAAACTGAATGCAAGCAGCAAGCTTTGGGAGGGACCAGCTCTACTCTTATGTAGATGAGGCACTGGCTGTATTTTTCTACTTAATGCTTGAGAACAGCATCATTTATATGGACTTTTGCAAATAGGTGGAGGTGAGTTATTATACGACTTGTGGGTAGGGCTGGATATAGCCAAGCATACACAAGGTTGGGAGTAGATCACACATTAGTATTGTATGGTCACAAGAGTATGTGGTCCATCAGGAAAAACTAAGGATCAGGAATCAGTGCTTTTCAGTACCATTTATATCCCTCATTGCTTGCCATGGATTTTGAGTAAGGAAAACCATGGGACAAGTGCCATCAAGAAATGTAAACAGTCCCTGAGAGGCAAGGTCAGATTTAAACTACGTTTAGCCTGCCCCGTCATCAATTTTGGATTCCCTCCCTCTCACATAACTCATGTGTCCTGGCCAAGACAGTGCTTGGCCCTTCCTTTCCCTGAAATTACATCTGACCTGACCAGAGGGGTGACGACACTCTCTTCCTCTCAGGATGTAAACAAATACTAACTGCCCTGAGTTCTGCACGGTGACAATGATGGATAGATGCTCTGTGGCAGGGCTCCAACAGCAGCACTAAGTCTGTGATGCATTTCCTCCTGACATGGGGATATATAATAGAGCCTCATACTCGGAGAGACAAGATAAAGCACACAAGAGGCATAGATCAACATCTCCCTCAAAGTAGTGATGGGTAAGGAAGCATCACATCATAAGAGGCAGTAGAACCTGGAGTTCTGCCTCTTCTCCGGGTTTGCTACTGGCATGTTCTGTGACTATGTTAAAGTCTGGGGGCTTTCGTTTCCCCAGCTGTAATGTCTGGATGGTATACTGAGATTTTTGGAGAGAAGATGCCACAGAAGGCCCAATTTCACAGCATGCAGATGGCATAGTGAGATTTTCCTCACAAGCATGTTACTGCTCATAAACAGCCTGAGGTTAATTTTGCATTGCAATATTTCTCGAGTTCCCAAGCTCTCTCTTCATATGTCTCATACTACAGACAACATGGAGCCTTCACTTCTGTTAGCAATACCCCTCCAAATTTGTAATCTATGATATAAGCTGGTGTCCTTGGGCTGAAATGTGGTCCAACAGATTAGAAGACTTGGATCACTGTTCTGCTGACACTATAGCTTAAACTCAGGAAAAAAATATGTCCTTAAAAGTGCCAAATCTGGTACTGAACTTGCCTTCAGGGAATACTGGATATAGAAACCCTCCCAGTCACCCAGCTGCATTACTACAGCATTAATACATTAATAAAGTCCATGTTTGTAAAAAGCTAGTCTAGATCAGAGAAATTCAGAAGTAGAATTCACTATGAATAAAAGTAAACCTGAGTTGTCTAGCTTTATTGCACACTGCAGATGAAAGGCAGGAAGTGGAATGACTGGCAGTGATGGCCAAAGGGAACAGTAGTTTGCCCATAATATTTGAATGTTTAATTATGAACATGTTACTAAAATTACAAAGAATTGTGGGGTTTATGCTGGTATTCCCTCTTCAGGTTGAAGCTGTCTGCACTGGTTACAGAAACACAGCCACAAACTGGTGCTTGGAAATGTCTTCTTTTTTAATGGTTGCACAATATTTTCTGTCCTCTTATAATCCCCATTGCAGATACTTTCTAGGCATTAGCTGTGGTATATGCATTGAAATATACAGCACCGGCCCAGCATGCTTGGCAATGCATGGAAAAGAAATCACATGTGCTGGATGAACTACAGCAATTTACGTGGTTCTGTGATTCAGCGCTGTCGCATAGTATGCTGCCTTTGCAAGTTACCTGAAAAAGCCCCGCTTTCAATAACAGTGCTAAGCCCACAGAGATGTTCGATGCCTAAGTTCCATGAGGTACGCATAAAAGCAAAGCAGAAGGCATATTTTTGAATCTGGAAAACCTAAATCTTTTTTATCATGTTTGTAGGATACACAAAACTACTGCAATTAAAGTTTAGATAAATGTTTCACGAAACTGATGTCTTTCGGTATACTACAGGTGACTTATCCCTCACTATGTAAGCCCAATGTTCTTTATCTTCCAAAACACGTAACTCCTTCTAGTTTAGGCCTGCAGAGACGATATGCACCACTTACCTGAGTTTTTGTCAGGCAGTCGGTTTATCCTCCATACGATGGAATTAAAGGCATGCTCATATTTGGCAGTTCCCAAAGTTACTCTCATTACTGGCTCAGAACCAGACAGACTGGTTGATCCAAAAGCGGCCCCCTTGTTCACCTTGGCTTTCAAAGATTTCTCCCCCAGGACACTCTCCTTGCGGAAGTTCTTTACCCACTTGTTTGGCACTGGGTAGCGGATCATCACGTTTTCACAAGGGACCTGAGCTAAAGGGTCACGGTTGGAAGAGAACCCAGTGGACATCATCAGCCAGCTCTGCACCTCCACCTCAGCACCACTGATGCTGGCAGCTGTCCTCAGAGTAAAAGGCAAAGTTTTCTCAGCAAAGACAGTTCTGAATCGCATCAGTTCAAACCGGCAGGCATCCAAGGGGTTGAACAGGATAATACGGGAGTTATTAAACACATCTTCATCCACACATGAATGGAACCGACAGCTGTATAATTTAATCCACTTAGTGGTAGTAGTGGGCATAATATCCTGCCTTGCAACTATTTCATTCCCTTTGATCAGGATATCATTAAGGCCTAGTCTGCATTCTGCCAGGCCAGAAAGGAAGCTGAGAACATAGATATGGGTCAGCACACTGTGCTGGAGAATCACACTGTCCCCTTTGGCCAAGATGCCATGAAACTCATCCCTGACATCAACTGTGATTTCTTCCTCCTGATAGTTCAGTCCTACTGTGCTCAGATCTGTTGATGAGGCTGGCAAGTTCATCAGTGTGTCTTGCACAGCACTGATGAAGCTAAGGAAGTCTTCATAATCTGTAGTCCCAAGTTTGATAATTTGCTCTCTCTCTGCTGTGTGAGCAATGGCTGGCTTAGGCTGATACTTCTTTTTCTCCTTGTAGGTTGTGCGGTCCAACCGCACACTGTGTATCCTTCCATTCTCATCATAGTTCTGGAGTTTGCGCTCTGAAATCTCATGATTGATTTCAAGTTTGAATTCCCGGAAAGGTTTCTCCAGTCCTTTCTCATAATAAAGCTGTATACATCCACTGTCAGTCAGCTTGACATATATTGGTCCCCAGTGCCTGGATGACATAATATTCTTCTTCTCTGGGATCCTGAGCATCATTGGCCATCCATCCTTTGGCTGAGCTGATGCCAGATTAAAAAAGGCTGCATCCAGATCATATGGCATCATGGGGTCATCATCAGGCAGGGTAGGGGTGCTCACATGATCTGGGTCTCCAATCTGAAGTTGCTTGAGCTGCTCTACAGCATCTGTGTGGGTTATATTTTTGCTTGCCTCATGGAAACTGATGATATCAGATTCTTGATGAAGAATAATGAGAGAGTCTCTTTGGCTTTTGCCTGGAGCACTGGAGACAGAAGAGCTTTTGGAACGCCTGTCTTGCTCCTCAAAGAATGAGCTGAATGGGTTGATGGGTGAAGGCTGGACATCTCGCAGAGATTCATCCAAGAAGGGATTAGTAGCACTCCATGGTGGTGTTTCAACGGAAGGCAACTTGGTTAAGGAGGAGAGATCGAGTTTTTGAATTTTGGAGAGGTCCCCCAGTGTGCTCTTGGGACGTTCTCTTTTCTTAAAGGATGTAGTGAGGTTAAAGTTAACATCTGGAGTCTGTGTTTCTGCAGGTGGGGTGTCTGTTTTCAAGGGAGAAAGGTTTGCTGGTGAAAAACTGACTTCATTGTCGTCAAAAGTCACCCAGCTGGGAAAGCGAGCTGTGGTTGGGGTAGATGAATGCCCATTCATGGAGGTGTTGTTCAGCTGCCAGTTGACAGCCTCCATATCTATCTCTTCATCTTCCTGGAGAGATGAGGAATTGTCTTTAAAAAAAAAAGAGGGGAGGGGAGGAAATTTCAGCTAATTATTCTGAAGTTATCTAGTTCTCTTCAAGTACAGAAAACTACAGTCTGCACAACAGTTTGCATGCTCAACAAAGGCATTTTCATATTCTGGGCAAGAAAGATAATCAGAAGACTTGGCTAAAATGCTCAAGAGTCTGTCCAGAATTAACAAAGAAATAGACAGCTGAACAGAGGAAAGGAATGCAGTAAGAAACAGAAAAGGAATGAGAGCAATGATTGTATTGCTCTCATTCCAACATGACTGAAAAAGAGAAACTTAGCCCACATGTTGCAGTGATTTTTTTAAAACTTCCCTCTCTAAGCTTTCAGGCTGCATTTCTTCTCTCCACTTGCCTTCTGCCATTTGTACCCTCTTGCTCTTGTTCTCATTTTTTCCCTTTCTGTCCCCATACCCTTTGCTCTAGAGAAGAATACAGTAGGGGAGGGAATGAACACTGAGGAAGAGCTCTTCTGCACTTTGTCGCTACATATTTGTCTGCACATTTGCTGTTAACACAAAAGCACATGGGATATGGTGAAGACACCATAAAGGGTATGTAGGTGGCATTTTTGCCCAGGATGTGTTCAGCAAAGAGACTTTTTGGGTTACCCAGGGAGAAAGAGTCTGCCAGTCCTTGGATGTCTTTGAAGAATCTCTCAGAGAAGCCGTGATCTAGGGATGTATGTTAGCATACAGAAAAACACTTCTTTTAACTTATGGAATCTGTCCCCATACTCTGTCAGGACATGGCACCTTTGACCACTATTTTCCTAATCTTGGGCTCTGCCAAGACACTTCCCAGAAGCTTACATCTTACTGTGCTGTTTCAATCCTAGCTCTTCCTGGTGGATATAGCTGCAGTGGTAATAAAGTGTTTTCCAAAATGAGCATACATTCTCAAGAGTTCAGAAATTAAAGGGTTTTCTTCCCATTTTCTTCCCACTGAGTGAATGAATAAAAGTGCTTCTCAAAATGAGCAGCCAGCATGAAATTACACTGCAGCTACGCCATGGGTTTGCTCTATGTATAATACAACAGTACTAGCATTTGTGCCTGTTGCTTCTGATAGATATATAGGTCCTATGTTTTTACCTAAGTCACTGTTCTTCAGTACAAGCAGAGAAGTGAGTGTAAAATGTAGCACTTTGGTATGGATGCACACCTGTGATATTTTACAGTATTAACAACAGCAACAATAACAACAACAACTTATTTAAGTCATTATTTAAATTGCCACCAGTTCCCCACAAAAGATGAGCTTCGTTTCCATTCTGCCTCAACCATAATAAGACAATTTGAATTTTCCTTCCAGTTATCATTTAGGATATGGAATAGGGACTATTCATGTTAGCCAAAGTCACACCACTAGCTCATTATAATGTCATGAGTAACTTGATTTTCTGGGCCTCTCATCCCAGCTGCATGGGAGCTCACTCAACTTTTTGACCTAAGGATAAAACACATGATCCAAATTCTAAAGGTTAGTATAACTCATAATTACATATGAAGAGAATGATACCAATTTTTTTTCAAGCCACAATAACAACAAAGCAATAACAAGAATAGATAGCTTTTATAGACTATCCATGCATTTCAAAGTATATTTGAAAAGAAGTGGCACTATCTCAATTTCCCTGATTTTCTTCTCTACCCTGACATTTTACTTCCAGCTTTGCGCCATGCTTCTCTGTAGTCCCTGCTACTGTTTACACCACTGGATGCTCTTCCATCTCCAGTGACCCACAGTGGTAAGACTTTTATCTGTTAAATTTTGCCACAAGACTATAGATTTGTGAGGGGAAAAAAACAAGCCACCTTATTATCACCCTAAGATAGAAAGTAATAAAAACCCCACCAAGAACAATCTGATGTTGTTCTGATCCTCAGGTCCATACCAATACCTTCCTATGTTGTCTCATGCTTTTCCAGCACTTTGGTTAGCAAGCATGTAATCCTCTGAAGCACAGCAAAGGCAATGAAAAGATGTGGTAAAAGTCTCTGATTTTATGGTATTTCTGGGAAAACATTCCCCATTTCTTTTAGGACTTCTAGAAGTCCTATGTTTATAAGGTCAGGGTTTCTTAAGAGTGGATCACCTTTTCCCTGCCTGCAATTATAATCTTCCCCTTTCCTATATCTTAGCTTTTGAACTACAGAAATCAAATGGGAATCCACAAATAAAGCAGTAAAAAAATAAATAGAGGCAGATGAGAAGACCTCCTTGAGAGTCTATGTGAAAAACACAGAAATCACCTGAAGAATTTCTTTCTAAACTGAACAAGTTTTATAAAATGCTTGTTTTGACTCAGATACCCAGAAATACAGCAGAAGCTCTACAATAAGATGGTTTCACATTTGTAATCATTTGTGTAATTTTATTTTCTAGAACAAATCAGTAAACTGTTATTTGATTTGATATGTGGAAGTGTCAAATCTGGGAAGTGAAACAATCCTTCTTTCTCAAACTAAAATCAAAAGCAGATTATTCTGCTGCCAAAGAACCATATGGTTGGGTTTACAAATGTTTGAAGAATACAAAGGTGGTTCTAGGAAAGAGAGGTTTTTAGCTCTGTAAGGGAATGGCTAATAGCAGGCAGTTTAAAAAAATAACCATATGCTAATGCAGCTAAGTGTCCAAAGAAAGTTCCTGAGAGCTAGATGAAATAGTGTGTTTCCCAAGAGAAATATTGGAACCTCTGCTGCAAAGGCAAATATAGCATGGTGAAAAATCTTGTCATGGCTATAAGATGTCTTAGACAATTACTTCAGATTTTCCCTTCTTGACTTTTTATGAATTCCTGAACATGGGTGATAAAGTTTAAAATGTGAATGTCCTTCCATTTGGCAGCACCCCAGTAGGTCTGGGAGAGGACACTTAAGAAAGTGATTTCCCAGATGAACTCCCTGCTTTTCTAACTGCTTTCAAAATTCCTTCCTACAAAATAAATCATGAGGATTGGTTGCTGATGGGGTGCGTTCTTCAACCCAGAGTGATTCCTGACTAAGACTAGATCTGCATAAAAAAAAGATGTGATCAAAACAAAACACTTGGTTTTTTTTCCTTTTGATTGACTGACTTTGCTTTCTTAAGTAAATGACTTGGATAAGTGTTTTCTTTGCAAAATTAAAACACCTTTTAATTGTCCGTTCTTGTCAGAGTCCAACCTGACAGATTGCTCCAGCCAGCTACAAAACACAGGAGCAGATTTACGAAGGTGAAGGTGCCAGTAGCTCTGTTTCCTTTCCCAGTGACATCAGCAATGTAAGCCCTGGGCAAGCAGCCTCAGGCTACCCACACAACTATGCATCTCTGCATTCATTCCCCCACGTAAGTGGTGCCTGCAACCAGCACTGGCTGTACCTTACTATATACATGTCTCAGTATAATTACCAAGCCATTAAATAATTGGGAAACTTAAGTCCACAGTGAAGAATAAAATGCCAACCTGCATTGTAATGGTTTTTTTTTGTCCACAGACCTCTTCATGTTTTGTTGATTTTACAAGGGTTCAGTAGGGTTCAGTAGCAAAACAGTTAATAATTTCAGTATGATAAAACTGAAAACCAGCATTGTTATAACAGATGTAGAACATCTCACTATGATCAGCCTCTTGTGACTCACTACAAGGAAAGGAGGCTTTGGTTCTCATCTTTTTATTTTTCTTTTTAAAGTATTTTGGCCAAAACCACCAGGTATTATCATGCTAAAGGACACTGATAGAGACTGGAACATAGATTTGTAAGCATTCCTGCAGATATTGACTCTCTGCAAGATCTGACGTGTGGAAGGGATGAATGCTCCTATATACAAAAATTTGACAGCAATCTAGTTTCCCAGTGTGTTGAACTGTTAATACAAAAGCTATGTTTATAACTTCGTACCTTATGGCACAGCTAAGAAATGTTACAAAATCACCACAGACTAAGTAACCATCAGGAGAAGGTGCAAGATGAAAGACTGAGGTAACAGACCCAATCTCTACGGTTCTTTCTTATTTCTTCTCATCCTACTTGGCAAGTTTCTCAGATCACATTGAAAGGATTCATACTTCAGTAACTTTTCAGGTGATCATACTCTGTCATATCCTGTCATTAAATCTCTTTGAATTTAGGTGTCTAAATTTAGGCCATGTAAATCAGTGGCCTGATTAAACCTAGTACAGTTTTATCCCAAATCTGTAGTACTATATAGTCTGTTCCCAGCAGTGGGTTAATGACTAGTTAAATATGATGCCTGTTGCTTGTGATGCAAATTCATCACAAGTCCCAAAAGAAGTTAAATAATCTGAAGTTACAAAGAAGTTACATCACTGAGCTTCCATCTCTATTTAAACACAATGAATTTCATCTATGTTCAGTTAATTTATCCCCATGTGTCTCTAATCTTTATAAACTCTCGTGTTTCATTTTAAGTGTAAGCCTTCATACAAATACTAAACCGAAGATGAAATACAAGCAAATTATAACTTAGCCCCACACAGCTAGATTGCAGCAGTCCTCATACTGCAAGAACAATGTTGAAAAGGACTGTGCTCCATCTACCATCTTAAAGGGCTCTAGAAGTTTTTGTGGACTTTAGTTTTTGATGTTTTGAGATTTTCTTACCATTCTGTATCTACACAAATGTATGTATTTATGGGAAGGCAGAACAACTGTATTTCAGGCACTTATGCTTACTGTGCTTTGTTGCCCTGAATTATTTGCCTTCTGTCTCCTTCACTCATGCTGCATCTCAGTGCTTGGAGAGGGAAGAGAACATCTTCCCAAAACCTGAGTCTGACCATTAAGAAGCTGGTATTGGACTACTCATTAGAACAGTGGTAGTTGCAGCTGAAGTCTCATTGCAACCCGCTATGATGCTACTTGAGTGCATTTTTTTGTTTCACCTGTTTTCCTCTCCTTCCTGTTTACCTTTCTTCAACTGGAGAAACTAATTAAACAAAGACTGCAATTCAGTCAGAGCCCTGTCATTATTCCT